AAATAAGTGATTGCTATGCAATACAGATGTCAACCTACCGCATGAGGTGGATTACGAAGTAGCTCCATGCCAAGAAGGCGGAAATAGCACTGAGTTCCACAAAATGATGGTTCACCTCCTTCATCGAGTTTAGTACTGCGAAGCCTATCGCGACGGAATATACAGCCAGCGAGTAGATGGCAAGTCCGCTTTTGTAAAATCGGAAACCCTATATGACCGAAAAACAAAAAAGTGATTTAACTAAAATATAATGCGCGGCCAACTTCGGACAGCGTAACTGGTCAATCGATCAATCAGTGTAGTAAATGACAGAAGCCATTAACATTACATTTAAACTGCACAGGTACGCATGAAGAGCAATTAAAATACAAAATTGTTTACAGATCGTTTTCGTATACGGTATGCATAAAACGAATAAAGAAGTACAAATCTCAAAGAGGTGCCGCATTAGCGAAATAACAACGTACAACACGGCATGTTCATCAGAGTTACATTTAACTTTAACAACACAATTTATTGAATCCGTGTATAGTTATTTCAGTAATTCGTTGCATTGGATATTGGGAGTTCTAGTTGACCGTTAACAGGTGATTATCTAAATGTCTCTTGAACACACTCACCGTGGGGGAATATACAAGAAACGTTGGTACAGAGCTTTGCTGAAGAATTCCCTCCTGAGTCAAAAAGGGGGAACGTTTCTTGGAACAGCATAGTTCCCTTTTAAGCTTTCGAGACTTTAAAGAAGCTCTTCTTAGTTGACATCCAGAACAATTACTCTTAGCAGCTTTTATTCGTCCAAGCAATGGAAAGAGCTCATTGCAAAATGTATCATTAGCCAAATATTCAAGTTGGGACCTCATTTAAAATCCCGTTCGGCGCAGCGATCCAGTACTTCCATAGCTTTCCTTTTTAAACTTATCGTTTAACAGAAGAATGAGCTAAAAAAGATTCTGCGTCAAGCGCATGCTCTTAGATATATTGGTAGGATCGTTCCCCGGTTAAACGTTTCCTTACCTGAAAAAAAAGTCACCTACTGATCCTCTGACAAATAATTCACGTGTCATGTTTATTTTACTGAGGAATCTGCAGTAGGTGTTATTTTGCTGACACCAGATCAACACAGTGGAAGTGCATTACC